GCTGTGTCTATGGAGATTCTCAGTCATCCAGGTCATGGTGCTTTTCCAAGAGGCAACTGGACTTTCTGTTTTTTTCTTTGAAGACGTTTGCTTCTCATCCAAGAAGAAGAGCTCATCCACGAAGCGAAACATCTTCAAAGAAAAACCAGAAAGTTCAGTTGTCTCTTGAAAACACACCTACTCCTTCTATTACCAGCTTTAAAAGCCTCCCCAAAGGAGAATCAGGGCAAAAGAATTGGCCCCACCCCTTTTTGTGACCCCCATCACTATTCCAAGTGACATGATCTGTGAATTGCCAGATAGGAGTGGTAAAACCTGGGGGTGGAGTCAAAAGAGGAATCAGCCTAGAATCTCTACGTAGCCACAAGCAATCCCCTTGAATTCCATTGACCCTAATCTAACTTCTGGCAAGTGCTAACCTTAGTTGAGAATATTCCTGTGCATGAATAGCAATAAATCAGATTAATTGGACCTTCCCATGTGGACCCGCTCTTTCGCACCTGACAGGAGACCATCAACCCAATGGTCTTGCATTAGATGTGAAGAAAAGGAAGTCTCATACCAGCTAATGTACATTAAAGGATACAATAAAATAAAGAATAATTGCAAAGGCTTCCAAGCTTATTTGCAGCAGGCTTGAGAAACCCCAGAGCTCCTATCACTTAAAGCAGGCAATTCTGATGACCTTAAATCAATTCCCTAGATGCCAATAGGTACAGGTAGTCCTCAATTTACAACCATTCATTTAGAGAATGTTCAAAGTCACAACAGCACTGAAAAATATGACCTATCACCAGCCATCACAGAATCCTCGGTCACATGATCAAAATTTAGCCCGTGGCAACCGGCATGTTTTTGACGAGAGGCAGGATCTCAGGATCATGTGATCGCCATATGCAACGTTCCCAGTGAGCTTCTGACAAGTAAAGCCAATATGGATTCATTTAACAACCATGTGATTCACTTACCAACCACAGAGATTCGCTTAACAACCCTGACAGAAAAGGTAATAAAGTCAGCAGCGACCACCCTCAACAACCGCCTTGCTTAGCAACAGAAATTCTGCTCCCAATTGTGCTCATAAGTTGAGGACTACTCTTAGTTAGTAAGTAGTACACCACTTCCCTGAAGGACTGTTTCCATTGTCAAACCGCTATTGTTATAATGTTTTTTAGCACTCATCCAAACTTCGTCTTTCTATCATTTAAACCCGTTATTTCGCACATTTATCTGTAATCCCAGACCTAAGATCAACCACTTATGCCTTATATTTTCCTTCCACCCATTATTTAGTGTCATTTTTTTCTAACACTTTTTTTTTTTTTTGCCATAGAGGTCCTACATGAAAGAACTCTATAATCTGAATTCACACTCACCTGTAAAAATTTGATGCAGTTTCTAGGACGAGAGAATGCAGCCTTACCTGATTTGTCATGGACTATGGAGAAAAGGATGCGTTTGGAGGAATGGACATTTTGGATGAGTGGACCACCGGGGAGGATAGATTTCTGTCCTGGACACAAAAAAGAAAGGAAAGCAACATGAGATTGAGGGAGGGGAGGATGAGAGAAAAATGAGCTAAGGAAGAGGATTCTGGAATATTCTACGAAGAAGCTACACCGATTAAGAAAAAGTAAAGTAAATGCTACAGCTCACCAACAACCAAGAAATTATTCATCCTGAACTATATGCACTTCACTTTAATCATTTAAGCATGTGTAAAGATCAGTTGTGACAATTTTGCTCACAATTCAAATGTGGCATCACTTCATAGCATCCTCAAGCAGTTTCTTGAGCATCCCTGTAACAGGCAATACATTCAACTGTATTGTACAGGTAATACTCATTTAGTGACCACAGTTGGGACTGGCAACTCTTGTCATTAAGCAAAGTGGTCGCTAAATTAAACTGTAATTGGGCTTATGATCTTATTTCAGTTTCCCCCTGCTGTACAGACCTGGGAAGGCTGTAAATACAAGCATTGTTCACACAGTTACTTTTCCCTCACCATCGTAACTGCAATTGGTTGCTGTACAAGGCAGTTTGCTAAACAAGGGCTATCTGTAGTTCGACTTAAAACATGCTCTGCATGGAGAGCGATGGTACATGTGGTTAGGATGCTGGGCTGACAATCGGCAGTCTCTCATTCGAGACCCGGTTGCTGTCACGTGATGTGGTGAGCTTCTGTCACTCGCTCCAGCTGTTTCCGGCCCAGCAGTTTGAAAGTGGGCAACCACAAGTAGATAGGTGGGTACCATTTCAGTGGGCAACTTAACAGGGACATGAAAGGAGCCCCCAACTAGATGTCCCTTGGGCAACGATGTCACTGGCTGATCCTTTCATCAAGGAAGTGCCTTGGTGCTTCTGACACAGAAATAAAACAATACTGTACAGTAGTTTTTCTCAACCTTGGCCACTTTAAAATGTGTGGACTTCAACCCCCAGAATTCTCAGTGAGATTTGAAGCCCACAAATCATAAAGTTGCTAAGATTCAGAAGGCAAAGGTAAAGGTTCCCTTGGCACATATGTGCTAGTCATTTCTAGGGGGTGGTGCTCATCTCCATTACAAAGCCAAAGAGCCAGCGCTGTCTGAAGATGTAGATATCTCCGTGGTCCTATGGCTGGGAGAAGCTGGGAGAAGTAACGGGAGCTCACTCTGTTACATGGTGCTAGGGATTCGAACCGTCAAACTGCCGACCTTTCTGATCGACAAGCTCAGCATCTTAGCCACTGAGCCACTGCGTCCCTAAGATTCAGAAACACTGTTCTAAATCCTAAATAATAGTTTATGCCAGTGAGCCTGGTCCATGGTCCTGGCTTGTTTCTAAGCTTGATGCAGAGAGGGTCAACCATTTCATAAAGAGGGGCCACAGCTGAAATTGGGGAGGTGGGGAAGCTTTGGTGTCAGATTACTTTAAATTATGATATTTGTGAATTTCATGTCTCAGAGTGTTCGTTTAGTGACAGTTCGAAGTTACAACGGCACTGAAAAAAGTGAGGTGACCATTTTTCTCACGACCATGATGATCACGTAATCAAAATTCAGACACTTGACAACTGACTCGTATTTATGATGGTTGCAATGTCCCGAGGTTGTGCGATTGTCTTTTGCAATCTTCTGATAAGGGAACACTCGTAACCCGGGGATTACCTGAAATTCATGGGTAAGGACTAGTTAACAAAAGCTACAATTTTATTTAAAAATTAGTAGAGGTTTCTTCTGTTTTGAAATAATGCTTATACCTGCTTACATGACTTTCATCGCCAAAACCGCTTGAGTAACGTTAGCTGTAACAGAACACGAAAACTTGTCTTTATGTTAATTGTTAAGTGGTTGAAAATGAAAACAAAATGTATGACTAAATGGGCAGTTCTCTCCATGGAGGCACGTAAAAAATGGAATTTCTGAAGCACCTGCACTGGGGCTGCCACTTTTCAATAAACGATCTTGACTTTGGGGCAAGCCGTGAGGTGGTAGAGGTTGCGGATACTATTGAGTTATTCAGAGTGACAGCGAAGAGGTCTACGAGGATCTCTTCAGATTGAGTGAATGGCCAACCAAATGTCAAATGTAATTCAATTTAAGTAAATGTGAAGTGATTCTCACTTTCCTTAGGAGAAGAGGCTAGCGCATGTGGGACTCTACCGAGAAAAAAAAAGGTGAGTGTGATTGAAATGTATAAAATCATGAATGGCCTGGAGAAAATGGAGGGAGAAGTTTTTTTCCTCCTCTCTCAAAATACCAGGACATATTCAATGAAGCTAACTAAAAGATTTAAAACAGAACAAAAATTCTCTTTTTTACCTAAAGCAACCTCTTTTTCACCTAATGCATAATTAACTCGAGGAATGATTTGTCCCCAGACATACTTATTTAAATAGCTTTAAAAGGGGATCCAATAAATTCATGAAGGACGGGTCAATTGGTCATGAAGACTCAATGTTACATTCAGATTAGGGGCAGCATGTTTCAAGGGGAAGAACAATGGAAGAAGAGCATGTATGTCCCTGTCTCCTCTTGTTTGGACCTTTGAGACATCTGATAGTGAGAAGCAATATGCTAGACTTAGCCCAATCCAATTAGTGACAATTCACAGTTACGACAGTGATGAAAAATTATATTTTATGGTCAACATTTACAAGCATTTACAATCTTCATGGGTCTGTAAAGCGAAGGAATGACAAAGGAAGATTATAAGCACAGTTGCGCATTCACTTACTGACTGCTTCATTTAATGAATGAGTTTCAGGTCCCAATTATGGTCACTAAATGTACTAGAATGGATCTTAGTTGGGATCTGTCCTGTGTTTTGATTGGACCTTGGCTTTCTCCTGCTAGAACCCAAACTGTCTGCAAAAACCAGGAGCAATGTAAATAGTCCTCGACTTACAACCACAAGTGAGCCCAAAATTTATGTTGGTAAGTGAGACAGTTGTTAAGTGACTTTTGCCCCGTTTTACAACCTTTCTTGCCACAGTTGTTAAGGGAATCATTGCAGTTAAGTTATTAGCGAAGTTGTAAAGTGAATCTGGCTTTCCCATTGACTTTGCTTGTCAGAAGGTCGCAAAAAGGTGGTCACACAACCTCGGGACACTGCAACCGTCATAAATACATGCCAGTTGCCAAGCGTCCGAATTTTGATCACGTGACATGAGGATGTTGCAATAGTTGTGTGAAAAATGTTTGTAAGTCACTTTTTCAATGTGACTTTGAACAGTCACTAAATGAACTATTGTAAGTCAAGGACTCCCTGCACATATTTGAGAACTCTGGGAGGACTGAAATAGTGATGCTACAAAAGTTACACTTCTAGAATGTGCAACGCCTATTCACCTGAGGGCAGCATCAGGCCCATGCGGCATTACTGACCGCAACTTTCCCAAAATAGGACCGTCCAGGGCCCATCTGGGGAAGGGCACTCATGAGATTTCAAGGTTGAAACGGATGCCTTAAGTATGAGCAAGGCCCCTTGCCTTTTATGACCTACCTCCAAACCCCACAATTTTAGCTCCCCCCTCCCCTCTCTCTGGAAAGGCTCTGGGAGACCACAAAAGGAATGGCTGATAAGATACACGTTGCCTAGATACTGACTCTACAGTATGCAAAATCCCGCTTTACTCTTTCATAATGTCTGGAAATGCAAGTTATTTTCATGATCACCTTCAGCTCAGAATGAAAATGTCTATTTTCAACTCCAACAGCACTAATGTTTGGGTCAACTACCTTGATGGTGTGGGGGGAGGAAGGAAATTGTTGTCCATTATAAAACTTAATATATTTTGTGAGACAGAAAACAAGATCGGTTTTCTTTCAAGAATGCCCTGAGAACATTTGTAAGTAAAAAGATAATTCAAAATTGAATCAAGACATCATTCTTTAATGTAAAAGGGGGCATTCCATCCTTTCTCTAAAATAAGCATCCTTAATAAACTATAGGTAGTCCTCAACTTACTACCAACTTGAGCCCAAAATGACGGTATGTTGCTAAGTGAGAAATTTTTTAAGTGAGTTTTGCCCCATTTTATGACTTTTCCGGCCACATTTGTTAAGTGAACTGCTGCAGTTATTAAGTTAGTAACCCGGTTGTTGAGTGGATCTGGCTTCCCCATTGACTTTGCTTGTCAGAAGATCCCAAAAGGGGATCACATGATTCCTGGACATTGCAACCGTCATTAATACAAGCCAGTTGCTAAGTGTCCGAATTTTCAATGCCGTGGTAACTTTGGTCACTAAATGAACTGTTGTTAAGTCAAGGACTACTTTGTACTTACCTGATCCTAGAACATGAAGGAGAAGCCTATCCTTGACTCCTCTGTCCTTCCTTGGCTAGTACCACAATATAAAAACCCAACTACAGGTAGTCCTCGACTTACAGCAGTTCGCAATTGAAGTCACAACGTCCCTGAAAAAAGTGACTTATGACCATTTTTCACATTTACGACTGTTGCAGCATCCCCATGGTCAGATGGTTCACATGTGGATGTTGGACAAATGACTCCCATTTATGATGGTTGCAATGTCCCAGGGTCCCATGGTCCCCTTTTGAGACCTTCTGACAAGCAAAGTCAATAGGGGAAACCAGATTCACTTAACAACCGTGTTAATAATTTAACAACTGCAGTGATTCATTTAACGACTGTGGCAATAAAAGTCATAAAATGGGGCAAAACTCACTGAACAACATAAATTTTGGGCTCAATTGTGGTCTAAAGTTGGGGACTACCTGTAATATCTGAACCACGTCCAGCCTCCAGGTATCACACCTGGCTGACCAAATACTACTGTCCCTTCCTACCGAAGGATGGCCCTGTCAAAACCGCCATCAGTTAATCCAGTCAAAGCCATCATTACACAATTCCTATTCCTGCCCTATTTCATCCCAAGGCTACACCAACACCTTTGCACCAGCTTTGGGGCAGCCATTGCTGGGTCAGCAAACATGAAGGCCATTACCACAGCAGTCACCGAACTCCTGTGGCGAAGGCACCTTCGCTTCTCCTGATGGACGGGGCCTCAGCATGTCGCCGACTGCATTCATCCCGTGCCGACTGGCTGAACCTTCCTGCTTTATCTCCATGGCAACCTGCGTGGGCAGCGACACGCCATATAGGAAACCGCTGGTGGTGATCCCAGGAAGAGGGTCTTGATTGGCCTGCTTAATGCGCACATTATTAAGGCCCGGTTGTCGGCTCCCCTTGGAGATGAGAGCAGCAGAGTTCATCTCAACAGAAGAGTTGGGTTCCCTGATAGAGTCCTCGGGGGGCCTAAGAAAAGGAGGAAACTGCACATAACTTCATGTTTATCCTAAGTTGGTAGAATGAACTATTTAATACAACAAAGAGGATCAAAATATGCTGAAAATTCAGAGACAGGTTGTTGAACATCAGCCAATTGCTAAAGACGTATAATAAAACTGATTTCATGTCCTGTTTATGAACTTCCGATAAGTATTTTGTTGGCCACTCTAAGATAGCAATATCCTGGTCTGGGTGGAGTTTTGGCTTAATCTAGCTGAACTCTTCTTATGTTCTTAAAGAAGCAGACCTCCAAACTATCTCTCTCACCCACAGTCTGGACTAGCAACACTCTCTCTGTATTATGTATGTATGTATGTATGTATGTACGGTGTTCAGCTTTGTTCGGGTATTTTCCCACGTCATTATAGTTGTGCTTTTAAAGTTGTAGCGACTTTTCGGCAGAATCTCATCTGCCATCATCAGGCTTCTGTATTATTGTGTAATACACACATACACACATATATACACACACATCATATCTGTATCTCTGTGTGTGTATGTGTGTGTGTATATCATCATGATCTTTTCATGACCCCATAATCCCCTGCAGGGTAGAGTCTGGGCAACTGAATGGAGCTGAGTGTTTACTGGCCGGATGCCCTTCCTGTCGCCAATGCGGAGTTATATTCAGCAGACCCTAACCCTAACCCACACACTATATATATTTATTAATATTATACAGGGAGTGTGTTGCTAGTCCAGACTGTGAGTTAGAGAGATAGTTTGGAGGTCTGCTTCTTTAAGAACATAAGATATATATTTATACACACACACACATGCACACACATGTGTTTATGTGCGTGTGTGTGTGTGTGTGTGTGTGTGTGGAGGGAGAGAGGGAGGGAGGGAGAGAGAGAGAAAGCGTGCATATATACATATACATATCTCAAATTACAATTTCAATGTCTAAAATATATTAATGAAGGAAGACAGAGAAAGTATTGAAAATTAAACTATAAATGACAGACCAAGAGAATGATTTGGAAAAAGGCGCTTTGCTGGATACACAAAAGAAACTAGCTGGATTGGCATCTTTCAACCCATTTACTTTCTCACCTTATTTCCTGGTGCAAAGAAAACAAGAAGTGACTGATAGCAAATGAAATTACTAAGGAATATTATAATGATGAACAGCAAAAAAAAAAAAGGAAGAAAGGGAGTGAAGATAGGAAAAAAAAGGCATTATATTTCCTTCTTCTAAATAGCACTTGAACCAGAAATCTCAATCCAGCTGCTCACTAGGCAAAGTTCCATCCTAAATAGGAAGTATTTATAGCCCTTCTGTCAAGCTTTTCATCAGCCATGGCTATAAATCTCAGTTCTCCAGATACTTAACTCCTTATTCCGACTTGCTTTCCTCAGCAGAGGCTCATGGCTATGACTCGGCAAGATTAGTTTATTGTTGACAGGAATGAAGACAGGAGATTTGCCTACTGCAATACGCAGAGGTCAAAGCCTATATATAGGCCTAAACTCCAGGGTTTAAATTGTATACTTTTTTTCTCCCATATTTCCAAGACAATGGATACCTGGATGCTCTGCTGATGGCTTTGAAAAGCAGCTAATCTATGCTGACATATTGGCTCTCTCTAGCCTGGAACTGCTGATTCCTACTTCATCAGCATGTTTCCAGATCCCTTCCCAAGCCAGGGTTAGCCAATGACTGGCCTCAATTACTCAAGAATGCTCAATACCTTTTGTCAGTGTATACCTAATTCTAGTCCAACAACTGGAAGCAGGTAGAAGCACTTTTGCAGCCCCGAGATAAAACATCCTTCTCCTCAGTGGTGGGATTCAAATTTTTTTACTACCAGTTCTGTGTTTGTGGGCTTGGTGGGCGTCGCATGGCTTGGTGGGTGTGGTTTGGTGGGTGTGGCAGGGGAAAGATACTGCAAAATTTCCATTCCCTCCCCACTCCTGGGGGAAGGTTACCACCGGTTCTCCGAACTACTCAAAATTTCCACTACCGGTTCTCCAGAACTGGTCAGAACCTGCTGAATACCACTTCTGCTTCTCCTACTGACTCACTGCCTGTGCACACACAACATATTATAGTTTATGTTGCTCTCAGACCATAATAAGTATTTGATTTAATTATATAGATTATTCCATAAGCCCAATTTTCTGGATTCACATGAACATCCTGAATAGTCATTGGCTGTTTTCATACAACACTAAGACAGGCTAGGATTTGTTGAGCTAGAGTCCTGAACTGCATGTAATGGTAAGTAATATGAAAACTACATCATGGTTTAGCATTATTTGTGAAAAGAGCCACTAGCTACACTTTCATATCATGACTAATGATATTAAAAGGCATAACCAGTTCCCATCCCTTTGCCTCCAGCAGAGCCATAATACAGAAATTCCCTAAGTACTCTGAAGTGAACAAGATCCAGAGCCAACAAATCAAAGAGGTCCTTCCTCTTGGAGATCCATGGTACTAATTAAATCCATGGAAACTAGAGTTATCATGATAAGGAACTAATGGAAATAATCACCCCTCAGATCACATCTCAGCTGCTTGAAAACAAAAGTCAGATGTAACATTGCAGTTTAGGCAAGTTGTCTGACATGGATTTGAACCATAGATAAACAAAAGCCAGAAATTCTAATCCTATCTCAAAGGTGCTTTTTCCTTCAACAGGGAAATGGACTTTGAAAACTTTTTGCTTCTCATCCAAAAAAAACCTCCTTCATCTCCGACTGGATGGTGATGAATGGAAGGATTTATAGTCCTTGCAGACAGTCAGCCATTTGCATTCTTTTAGAGAGTCATTAAGGCCACCTGGAGGTTTATCTGTGTTATCAGGTTCACTACTCACTAAAAGAATGCAAATGACCAATTGTCTGCAGGAGTATAAATCCTTCCATTCCCCACCATCTAGCCAGAGCTGAAGAAGCTTTTTGGATGAAAAGGGAAACGTCTTCAAAGAAAAACCAGAAAGTCCAGTTGCCTCTTGAAAAAAAACACCTTTGGGACAACCATGACTTGAATGACTGAGAATCTATATCGATATTCTAATCCTATCCTTACAATTGCACCAAAACAGGGGGAAAGGGATGATGATGATGGTGATTATGTTATCCATTCAATCGTGTCCAACTTTTAGCAATTCTAGGGTCCAGGTCTCTCCACATCTTTCAATCTTGCACTACTTCTTTTGAGTTTTTCTATGCTCTGGTTTGTGATGGTAACCCCTGATTTCGGTCATTGCAAGCCAATATTTTTTTACCCCTCTATCCTGGATTAGTACAATCAACATGATCTGCAAGACACTGACCAAATACAAGGGAATAAAAAAGAAAAAAAAAAGCTTCCAAAACACCTCATTCTTACCTTTTTATCCTGAAGCGCATGTTGTGGCTGTGCTCTAATATGGCCATCAGGGACTTTGCATCATATTCAATGGGTTTCCTGAATGTGAGTCCATCGGGTAACCCAACCACCGTTAACCAGCCAGGCTCTTTCAAGAACTTCTCATATGGCAGTGGAACCACACTGCTCTTCCCCAAGGCCTCACCTGGACAATGTGGAAGAACAATACACTCTGAAAGAAATCTAAACAAGAGCTGGCCACAAGGCATCCCTTTGTTCTGTCTCTTTGTCACATTGTGCTGTTGCCATGAAAGAGTATTTGGGCTGCGCTACCCAAAAGGCAGTCCATCATATGTTTGTAACAGCCTTCCCCAACTTCAGGGGTCTCCAGATGCATTCATTTTGAATCCCAGAATCTCCTAGCCAGCACTGTCATTGCTAAGAATTCTGGGATTTGAAGTTTACATATCTGGACGACACCCAAGTTAGGAAAAGCTGCTTTATAATGCTCTCCATTCCTCTGGACCATAAGAAAGGCTGAGCGCCAAAGAATGGAGGCCTTTGAACGATGGTGCTGGAGAAGACTCCTGCGAGCCCCTTGGACTGCAAGGCAATCAAACCGGTCAGTTCTAGAGGAGATCAACCCTGACTGCTCTTTAGAAGGCCAGATCCTGAAGATGAAACTCAAATACTTTGGCCACCTAATGAGAAGGAAGGACTCACTGAAGAAGAGCCTAATGCTGGGAAAGATCGAGGGCAATAGAAGAAGGGGATGACAGAGAATGAGGTGGCTGGATGGAGTCACTTGAAGCAGTAGGCATGAGCTAAAATGGACTCCAGAAGATGGTAGAGGATAGGAAGGCCCGGAGGAACGTTGTCCATGGGGTTGCAATGGGGCGGACACGACTTCGCAACTAACAACAATTCCTCTGGATTAGTGTTTCTTGGTAGCTGGAGAATTCTTGGAATTAAAATCCACATGTCTTAAAGTTGGTGAGGTTGAGAAACACTGCTCTAGATTTAGGAATATATTCTCTGCAGCAAGACTTAGGCAGAGGTGCTAGTGGCAGGTAAATGGCTTGTGTGGCAACCAAAAGTTGGCACCAACCAGATTTATCCTCCAAATGGGGACATGTATACAGTAAAAATGGCATTGTCTACCTACAAAGAGAGAGATAGCAGAAATTTGGGGGGACTAAGTTTTGCAGAAGAAAGAATTATAACCCTCATCATTTCTAAAAACAGGGTACAACATGCAATAAATGTTTACAATTAGTGGGGTGGGGAACGGAGAAAGGAAATGAAAAACAATCAAATAGATCATTCAGAAAATAACTTATTTATTTATTTAGTTGCTTGTTTGTTTGTTTATGGGATTTTTAAGGCCGCCTAATGCAAATAATGTGACTCTGGATGGTGTGCAGCATGCTTGGATAGCTGGCATACCGCTTAAAACTACTCAACTGCAAAACTACTAACAGTAAAAAAGATAATTGGAATAAGAGTAGTAGCAGTGATAATAATAATGATGAAGCTATTACAGGGCACTAAGATCTCAAAATGGGAACATTCGTAGCTGTCTCACTTTCTATACCAGCTTTCCTAACTTGTGGCCTTCAGGTGAATACAAAAAGTAACACTCCGGACTCTCAGGTAGCAGGTTTAACTTCTAGCCAACTAAGTATACCCAACAGTAGGGATATCTAGATTTGTAGTCAACTATATCCAGAGATTTGGATGTTTCCCATCCTTCCACAAAGCCTCTTGACTTGGGCCTGGTTCATTCACTCTTTGGATAAAGGTTAAGATGTCATCACAGTGTCTTAAATGGATTACTTTCCTAAGAGGAAACAGCCACTATCTGCCAGCTTAATGGCTTGCTAGTTCTCCCATCTGTTAAATCCAACCCTTTAGATCTTCCATCCTCCCAGCCATACAAGTAGGGAACTGGCCAAAAGGTCCCTCAAGCCACTTGGCAAACCCAAGTCCCAAGGGAAATCAAGGCTATTCCTTACTATAAAGCACATCAAAGACTTCTTCTACCATCTTCCTGAGGAGATAAACATCTGATCCCTGATCTGGGGAGATCCGAGGAATTGTCCGACCAAAATCTTTTGCCTTCTTCTGGCCGTCCAGGTCATGTTCTTTGCTCTGCTGGACTCCTGCAGGCAGGGAGGAAGCAGGACACAGAGAGAGAAAAGATGGTAAACTATATTGGCATGACATTTACAGTATGTGTCGCCAATTCTTACACTGATTCTCTTGCCTCTGTTTGAAGCAGCTGCAGTCACCTATCTTTCTCAAACCTATATCAGGAGTGTCAAACTCAAGGCCCAGGAGCCAGATCCGGCCTGCGGGGTGCTTAGATCTGGCCCGTGGGGCCACCCTGGAGATAGCGAAGGACCAGCCTGTGGTGACTCTGCCAGCAAAAACAGAGCTCGGGAGGGCCACATGCTCCATTTTCTCTGGCAGAGGGTTGCAAGAGGCCGTCCCAGCCGAAAACTGAGCTCAGGAGCCCGTTTTCACTAGCAGAGCACTCAGGCTACCACAGGAGCTCCCGACACAAGTGACGTCAAGCTGGCCACGCCCATCCCAGCCATGCCCCTCTGTTGTCGTCCCCGCCCCCCGAAGTCAAACACAACCTTGATGCAGCCCTCAATGAAATCGAGTTTGACACTCCTGCTTTAAGGGGAGAACATGGGAGAAAACCAACATATAAATCAATTGGTAGGCAGATTCCAAAGAATGAAAAGATCGCGGTGGGATTGTGGATAGGCTTGGTGGTGATGCCACAGGGTATCATCCAATGTCATAGAGCAGAGGTCTCCAAACTTGGCAAGTTTAAGACTTGTGGACTTCAACTCCACAAGTCTTAAACTTCAGCATAGCTGGCTGGAGAATTTTGGGAGTTGAAGTCCACAAGTCTTAAAGTTGCCAAGTTTGAAGACCCCTGCCATAGAGTATCAAATAGGGGATTCTGCGTTTTGCACATATCCATCATAAATAACAGCTCTGCCCTAAAACTGAAGAATTGACTAATAATAACACAGCATTTCCTGATTTTCTGCTCACTCATGAACCTGGAAAAGCCCTGAAAGGCTGTATTTAGACCCCAAACTTGCTTCATCAATCATGGGAAAACCATGCATCTTTGGAGTCAGAGATCTGTATATTGGTGGATCCATGCAGAGAGTACATACACTTTATTGAAATACATTGTCTTTCTCCATTGTCATAGCACTGATCATCAATAGTATCATGATAGTATATTTTGAATTTATCTAAGATTAAACAGGTCACAATGGTACACTAATAATTACATAAATTATTATGCAAATAATTATTAAAGGTAGTAAATAAATTGCACATGAAAAACATAATTAAATATAAAACCTACTTTTTCATGATGACATGGGAACTTTATTTAAAAAAAAAAAACAATCTGTAACAATTTGTCTAGCTGTGTGATTTATTGTCAATGATTCTCAACTTCTTTTTATTTTAAAACCACTAGTCTTATGGTCTATAAAGGGGAGAAAGATACCATCTATTATTACACCAACTACTCCAGGCATTATTCCGAATTATATCTCTCATGGTTTTAATTTAGAAACTCAGACTATAATTTATGTTATTTATCTGTTCATTCCTCCATTCATTCATTTATTGGAGAGTCTTTTAAGAATATCATGGATAACCAAGAAAACAAATGATGACACAGAAGAAATCAATCCAGTGATGTTACTCAATGCACAAATTACCAAGATGAAATTATCATTATCTTATGACACATTATGCAAAGACATGGTTCTATTGTTGTCTATAGTACTGTCTACATGGCTGCAAAGAGTCAACAGTGACATGATGACACATAATCATTACCAATATTTCTTTACCACTTTATTTCTCGAAGACCCATAATTCCTATGCTGTCTCATCAAACAATTCCAGCTGACATACAGACAGAAGAACATAAATCTACCAGGAACAATCCAGTAACATCCCCAATCAAGTATCAGTTAAGTGAACCAATTAATTACATCTTAAATTAATAACAAGACTCTTGTTACAAACAGGACAACACATTCACTGAATGACCTCGAAGTCTAATTTTTATGAGGCCAAGGAATGCAAAGGCTATTCTAGCTATTTACATCTACTAAAGGAACAAATGTGATTAAGTAGAGATATAAATGAGAAGCAATAGTAACAATATCAGACAGATGACAGCCATTAAAGCATTTAAATTATAACTGTTTCTTCACAACACTTACTGTTAAACATTGCCTCTGTTACTGACAGCAATGTCAGGATAAGATAATTGAAACCACTTAACATCCAGGATCTACCTCAGCTTCCCCAACCAGCTGTCCTCCAAATGTTTTCTATTGGAAAACAACACACTTCATCCTAATAAACAAGATACTTGGAGGTGTCTTGTAATTATTGTGTAGCTTAATCTTTCTGAATGCCAAGTTGGGAAAGAGTCTCTTTTAGTCTGTAATACTGGGAGCCTAAGGGACATGGTGGCTCAGTGGCTAAGACACTGAGCTTGTCGATCAGAAAGTTCCGGAGTTCGAATCCCTAGCACCACGTAACAGAGTGAGCTCCCATTACTTGTCCCAGCTTCTGCCAACCTAACAGTTCAAAAGCATGTAAAAAAATGCAAGTAGAAAAATAGGGACCACTATGGTGGTGGGAAGGTAACAGTGTTCCATGTGCTTTCGGCATTTAGTCATGCCGGCCACATGACCATGGAGTCATCTTCGGACAACGCTGGCTCTTCGGCTTTGTAATGGAGATGAGCACCGCCCCCTACAGCTGGAAATGACTAGCATGTATGTGCGAGACGAATCTTTACTTTTACCTTTACTGGGAGCCTAAAGTGGATAAAAAAACAAAGCAGCAGAAAAAAAATTCAATGTGTCCCAACAAGAAGAAAAAAAAGTCCAACATCTTTGGAAATGCTCCCAAATATATAAGACTATGGACAAAATGTATAGGTGAAGCACACTCAGCTTCACCTCAGATAATCCAGCCATTGTTGATCTTGAAGGCCAAGCAAGACTGATATTTGCATGCAGTTCCACCAAAGAGGTTAAAAAGCAGATGTCCTGCCTTTCAGCCTGTGTCATGCTTGATACAGGTCAGCGTCGTCTGTCACATTCAAAACCTCTTGTTTATAATGAACATCTGTGGGATTTTGTATTGCTTTCCATTTTCTGTGGCTGCCTGTGTATTCTGTAGGATCTCAGAAGTTGCTGCTAAATTGGACAAGGAAATTCATGCAGGCTTCTACTTCAGATCTTTGACTTTAAAGGTTTGAAGAGTGCTAATTCTGACTTGCAGGTATATGATGGAGGAAGGTATACTCCTAATTTCCTCTCTCCTACTCACAGTCGAGGGCTGGGTTCACATGCATGAGTTCCCACAAGGAGGAGCAAGTGATAACATGTGCACATGACAACATGGCAGCTTGCACTGAATGCCTTGTCCATTCACTGAGAAAAGCCATGATGTGATTTGTGGGGATTTGACACAGGCCCATCTACTTTCTCTACGCTGGTGCCTCCAGTTTTCAGTCAGAAAAATTCTGCTGGATGGGATCAATGAATGCAGTAATCCAACCCCATTAGGCTGAATAGCTGATTTGCACAATATACTTAACCAAGTCAGTTAAAAGCCTTGCGTAATATGCTACATTAAGTCAGCTCCAGTTCTTTTCATGGCACAGCATGTTGTGCAACCCCCAAATGGTGTTTAGATAACACACTTAGTCAAAACAGGTAAAAGCCAAGGAGTCACTGTCTGTCTATTACTCTATTATTTCTTTACAGGTTTCTATATGGCTGCAATCAAAATATGCTTCAAGATGGTTACACATTCTATTTAGGAAACTAAGGATAGAAAGCAAAAAGTCTAAAACACCAAGAACAATATCATTCAAAAGACAGCTCTAGACCTATATCTTATTTAGGGTATAATAAATAAATAATCAATACGCCAAGGTTGATTAATGTTAACCTTGGCTTCTATTTTTGTGACATACTATTATTGGTTAGTTAATAGCTCAATAATCCAGAAAGTGGGTTAACTGAGTCACAAAGTGTAGCATATTGAGCAAGGGAATCAGGCAACAGCGTGTTTTTTTTTAAAAAAGTAAAAAACAAATCAGAGCCCCTAAACCAGGAGTGTCAAACTCACATCGTCACAGGATATATCATGACTTTTTTCTCTTCTCTAAACCATGAGTGGGCGTAGCTAATGTGTGACACACCCAGCCCGCAGGCCGTGAGTTTGACACCCCTGCCCTAAACCCAATTCTTTCTACCTCAAAGATAGACTAAAAGAAGCTACTAACTCTTGTAATACAATTCTGGGTGATTTGCAGTTTATAAGAAGGGTTGTAACACCCAGTTGTTAATAATGGCAACAATTAAAAGCATTCTGTCTACCAACCCAGATAAACACACATAGAGAACACTCCCCAAACAAAGAAAAGGAGGAAAATATTTTTGAGAACACGGCCAAAATACTATTGCTGAAAAAATAAATTCCTGAGCCAAGATAGCTGAGCAACCTGTTTTTAATACTGCTACTCTCATTCACCTCAAGATCCAGTTGACACATCAAACTAATTAATAAAAAATAAAACTCGGACATATAGCCACCCCTGACCACGTAGATCCAGGTTTAAGTGGACAACCATCAGACAAGTAAATGACAGCAATTAAGCAGTTAATCCTAACCTGCATCAGATGCTGGCATTAAATTTGGCACACAGTTACATAATTGCTGGTTTTACCAAGGCAACTTGAATACTTACTGCAGAACTTTTTGAAATCTGCCTGGACCTCCTTCCTCGTGTTCATGAACAGCCTCCCCTTTTCTGTCCCAACTACAAAAGTATTTTCATCGTGGACAGCAACACAGGCAACTTCCGTGTTGAGTTTAGAAAGGGCTGAGCACTGGGGAAGGAGAAGGAAAATGGAAGAGTTGTTATTTCAATTTATTTTTAGAATGAGGAGAAGGAGAGGGAAAGAGAAGAAAAGAGACCTTGGAGGCAGGTTCAGCAGGTTCAGCAGGTTCTGACTAGTTCTGGAGAACCGGTAGCAGACATTTTGAGTAGTTCAGAGAACCGGTAAATACTACCTCTGATTGGAGATTTTACAGTATCCTTCCCTTGCCATGCCCACCAAGCCACGCCCACAGAACCGGCAGTAAAAAAAATTGAATCCCACCACTGCTTGGAGGTCTTCTAGTCGAGCCCCCTGCTAAAGTAGGAGACCGTATACCATTTCAGATAAGTGCCTGTCCAGTCTCTTCTTTAAAAAACCCAGTCTACAACTTTTGAAGGCAAACTATTCCACTGGTTAATTGTCCTCACGGTTAGGAAGTTTCTCCTTAATTCCAGGTTGCTTCTCCCTTTGATCAGTTTCCAACCATTGTTTCTTGTCTTGCTTTCTGGTGCTTTGGAGAATAATTTGACACACACACACACACACCCTTCTTTGTGGCAGCCACTCTAATATTGGAATACTGCTATCATGTCAGTATTTTTCCAGTGTCATTGTGCCAGCATATTTGAAATGGATTTGAAAGCTGTTATGCATGCCAGTCCTTTATATTCCACTATGTATCCCGTTGGGCTACTGGAATATGTAGGGCAGAAGACTGCATTTACTTGAAAACACAGCAGTCACATTCATTTCTAGAGTTGGCCATGGGGGGGATGCGTAAGAGCTCCACTGTTTGCTACTCTGTGTATTTAAATTCAAGGTTCTAATGCTTGCAGTATTTTATGCATTAGCCTTCCCACTTTTTAAAAGCTGATAGCAAGAAATCTTTAATGGTATCATTCTGTTATGAATAAATTAGCTAAATATCAGAACTAATTTCTTACATGCACTTTTAATAGAAGCCATTAAGAACATTCTTTTATATAGGTGCTGTATAACCCTTTCAATGTTAGCTTTTTTATGATTTAAACAATTTAGGCTTGCTTTTGAGGGCAGATTGATGTCTCTAAATGTCATAGGGCAATAGTTCTCAATCTGTGGTCTGTGAACCCCTGGGAGGCCACAATATCACCACAGGGTTCCATGAAAGCTTGAAAAAAATGTTATTATTTAAATCTTAAGTCTTGGTGGTCCTTGGCCATGGTCCGTGGCCACAAAAGATATTTAAAGGGGGGTCTGTCGTGAAGAAAAGGTTGAGAACCAATGTCATAGAGCAGAGGTCTTCAAACTTGACAGCTTTAAGACTTGTGGACTTCCAGAATTCCTCCTCCAGTCACGTCAGCTCAGGAATTCTGGGAGCTGAAGTCCACAAATCTTAAACTTGCCAAGTTTGAAGACCCTTGTCATTGAGCATTCTCAACCCATGCCATGAGAATACCATTTTGTAACCTCTAGCTTTAAGTGCACTTGCAAACCACAACAGTTTCTGCCACAGATATTGCAGTTAATTTGATGTCCAAATTAACAAAACTAAATTGTCCACTGCTCTGCCTCTGCAGTCCTCTGCATCAGAAACCACAGAAGTTAATGGCTGAAATAGAAGCAGACAAATTGGTTAAAAAGCATTATTTGCTGAAGCAGTTGGAAACACTTTGCTTGAGTTCTAAATTATGGTGCCATAAAACCTAGTTTGATGCAATCTCTAAAATGAGGAAGTTGAATCACATATCAAGCTAAGCCATAATGTTGTTTTGGTTTGGCTTAACGTGCATTTAAATTTAATGACTGTGACTAATATAATGGTTCTAATGCACAAAAAAGCTGGATAATTATGATTCATTCAGTAAATCATGGTTAGGTCTTAGCACAACATGTGAACCCAACCACTGGCTCTGTGAAGACCACTTTAAATATATTTATTTGATCTTCTCAACAAAATTTGAGCCATGTCTCAAATTCAACACTGTTGTAATGATCACAATATGTTTAATTGTTTAATTAGAAGACTGTGAGGGGCTAAAGGGGAAAAAAATTAAACCACATTAATCCAAAGATTTATTTAGTTTAGAATTAAGATTTTCAGACAAGGAGCTTTTTCAGTCACAGCAGAAGATGCTGAAAATTGACCCTAGGCCATTTGTGTAAATTCTTGTAACTGAACTACAATCGTTTCTCTAAGGAGTCTTGTAAAGCTGCCTAATCTAGAGACAATACAGTTTACATAACAGTTTGAAACTGGACTAGAATCAGAAGAGCCCAAAGATAGGCAGGTTAGCAAACATCTCAGAAGACAGTTCCTGTATCAAGATTCAGGAACAACTTGACAAGCAGGAACTCTAAGCAAAAATCAGCAGGAGGAATGTCAATAGAGATTAAGTCTTAACTCAAAATATGAGTATCATTCTGGGAGAGAATCATAATAAGCATTAGCACACCTGAAAAGCATCTGGATGTCTTACTGGATCATTACTCAACATGAACCAACAATGTGATGAAATTGCAAAGAAAGCAAATGCTATCCTAGATACTCTATCAAGGGTGTAAAGCAAGGGTCTTCAAACTTGGCAAGTTTAAGACTTGTTGTGAACTTCAACTCCCAGAATTCCTGAGCTAATATGACTGGAGGTGGAATTCTGGGGGTTGAAGTCCACAAGTCTTAAAGCTGTCAAGTTTGAAGACCCCTGGTATAAAGTCAAGATTTTAAAAAGTCATTATTCCTCTATTTGCTGCATTGGACAGACCACATCGATCAATGTTGTGTCCCATTTGGAAGGATACCAAAAACCTGGAAATGTGTGCAGAGCAAAGAAACCAGGATGATAACGAGACTGGGCAAACAATTGGAGGCAATGGAGGTGTTCAACCGGGAGAAAAGAAGAATGTGAGAAGAGAACGGCAGTCCTCTTCAAGTATCTGAAGGTCCGTAGAACACAAGGCAGAACAATCCAGAAGGCAGGACAACAAAGTACTGTATAGGCTTAACTGTAAGGAAGTACATTTGAACATCAGGAGAGAAAAAATCCTGAATAAAAGCTCTTTAACAGCAGAACAGACTATTTCAGAAAGTGATGTATTCTCTTTCATTGTTTAAACAAAGGGCTGGCTGGCTGGCATTTGTCTGACATGATGTATAGTAATAATGGATTCTTGCACTGAATAAAGGCTTGGACTAGATGATCTCTAAGGAACCTTCCAAGCTTCATACTCTATCACTCTAAGTTGTCCATACTCGGCCATGGATTTTGAGTTTACAGTAGGACCAATTTGAGCTTGGAAGGCTCTGAATCAGAATCTGACAGTTTAATTTACCTCACAGAGATCGTATGAGGATAATGAAATGAGGATGCAAAGGACCATGAATAATATTTTGGAAGAAAGGCAGTACAGGTAGAGCACTGCACACCAGAACAACTAGACACAAGAACAATTTTTTCCCGAATGCCATCACTCTGCTAAACAAATAATTCCCTCAATACTGTCCAACTATTTATAAAGTCTGCACTACTATTACTGTTAATCTTCTCATCACTCCTTCTCACCCATCCCCACCCACTTGTGACTGTATGACTGTAACTTTGTCGCTTGTATCCTTATGATTTATACTGACTGTTTCCTAGTATGATTTGATTGCTTATTGTACCCTATGACTATTATTAAGTGTTGTACCTTATGGTTCTTGATGAATGTATCTTTTCTTTTTTGTATACTGAGAGTATTTACACCAAGACAAATTCCTTGTGTGTCCAACCACACATGGCCAATAAAGAATTCTATTCTATTCTCAAATTAGGATTGTTTGAAGTTGTGACTTACCTGAAAAAGGGGACTTCTGACCCAGATCCAAAGTTCTAACAATCCCACCCCTCCCCTGCCATGGTCATGTGACTGCACTTCAAGAACTCAGCAGCATGGTCACCTTTTATGGCTGTTTATAATATCCTGTGGTCTTATGACTTGTATTTTTAAAACATTTTTTTACAAAAAAGGGCAACTACTTCCAGCTTTCGGCAAAACTGCGCCCATCGTGAACTATCAGTTTGCTTAATGACTGTGGCATTCCTTTTACAATTGTGACATTTGCTTAACAACCACTGCAAAAAAGTCAAAGCATGATCAACCCATTTTATAACTTATGACTGTAATGGGCAGGCTCCATTATGGTCTTAATTCAATGACTACCTGTATATTAAAATAATTGAATTGAATTGAATTCTTTATTGTCACTGTACGTATATACACATTATATACATACAACGAAATTCAAATAACACCCAGAGACCAGACTCAACATGCACACACACATGACAATCCCCAAACACCTCCCCACGCACCATTAATAAGCGAAAGAATTTACAATCTGAATATCACACTTTCTGAATGCAATCAACTTTATAAAATACAGGTGGGAAGGTGTCGATTCCAAGGACAATTAACTAGCATAATACAAGTATTAGAGACATGATGGTGCAGCGGTGGAATGAAGTATTGCAGGCTGACTCTGCCCACTGCCAGCAGTTCACTTCTGACCAGTTCAAGGTTGACTCAGCCTTCCAAGATCAGTAAAATGAGGAACCAGATTGTTGGGGGCAATATGGTGACTCTGTAAACTACTTAAACAGGGCTGTAAAGCACTGTGAAGCAGTATAGTCTAAGTGCCATTGCTTTTAATATTAATTGTTATTATGTTAACTATTATATATTATATAGCTAAGCACAGAATTGTCTCCTACTGTCCATGGGTTTAGGAGACGCTAACAACAGAGTCATACCATTCAAGTCAGTTCCAAACAACTCTAAATGTTCAATCTAGACATATTCTTCTGGATTAGGCTTAATTTCAGTACTTTTTTTTAACTTTAGTAGGTTGCAAATTTATGCATACATACTTCCTATCTCCCTCCTAATCTCTTCCACATTAAAGATTAGTTTTAAAGACTGTGCCAGGTATGTATCTTATTCAACCGGGGGTGGGGTTAACTTATATAACATTTCTACAGGGATTAAAAAAGAAACAAGAAAATAGGGGTTGGGAAATTACGATTTAAAAGAAAATGAAAATTATTCTTTTGTATCATAGAAAATAAAACTTTTGTCATTTGGGGTGGGGATAGGATTAAGCAAACAGCACAGTTGATAAAATAAGGATATCTGAAACATTATATGCCGACATGAAGGTTAACAGAAACCACAATATGTGTTTTTAAGGATTGATTTCAAAGGTCTTTTAGCTACGGATACAAGCCATTTCCTCTTCAGACTCAAGCCCTTGGAGCAATTTCTCTGCAACAGCCACCTAAAGTGACACAAGATCTTTGTTTCCTCCATAAATCTGTGGCCACATTTTGAAACAAAGCTACAGAGTCTTTGTTGACTTGTGTAAAAAATTTTGGCTCCAGCCAAATTGATTTGATTAGCCTTTCTCTTTTTTTTGGCAGCTGTAATATTTGCAAACATGCTGTGACATCACAGAAAGAGCAGGAAGTGGACATTTGTTCAAATCATGTAAAAATGAAGACTGATGAATAGGATCAATTCCAAAGGTTGAATGGAAAAAGGAGGGGGTTCACCTGAGACTCATTGGTAGCATTTACACAAAAAAATTAAGTCCAGTTAAAGATATAATTATTGCATTTTTAGCTTAACTCTGTAGAACTGTATGTTGTGTGAACCCAGACTTTTTTGGTTTTCTTATGCTTCAGTGTACTACGGAAATCAGAAAAAAGGTTAATTCAATAATTAAGTTCCCTCTGTTGTGGGAACACAGAATTATGAGATTCCTACACAGAGGCTGGGCTCCTATTACAGACTAAAATAGGGTTGAATAGTTGTAATGCAGAATCTTGAGGGAACCCAGTCTCTTCACAGGTTGTGTGACTAGGTCTTCATACTAAATCAATGTAAGCTTTCTTTGGGTGCTATTGCTTTAATGTGACATTTTGTCTCATTAAGCTAAGTTTACTGAGTTGAGTTTTGCTAATCTGATCTGGGGTTCAATTATGTAGGCAAAGGTGGAGAAAAATCCATAGGTTGTGTGGAGTTGGAACCACATTAGGAGTACAAAGCTATTTAGGGTACAAACAAGATTGTGAAATGGTGAAAAGGCAACTGCAAGCTTCTTCTGCTGCAGCCAGCTGCCTGCAAGGTTGACTCAGCCTTCCATCCTTCTGAGGTGGGTAAAATGAGGACCCGGATTGTTGGGGGCAAAATGCTGACTCTGTAAACCGCTTAGAGTAAAGCACTATAAAGCGGTACATAAGTCTAAGTGCTATTGCTATTAAAAAATGGATCCAAAAAGAATAAATATCACATCTCCCTCAGCTCTAAAACCACCTAGGCCCCACAGACAATCTTTAAAAATAAAATAGGAAGGGAACTTGGAAATACGTCCCTGTGCCCAAAAAAGGAGATAGAAGTTAGCTGGGCTGGTAGAGAGAAAATACTTGGAGTGGTGAGGAAACCAAGCTTGTTCACTCAAGCTTCTCTAGAGCTTCAAGACCGGCCTTCCAAAAACCTTTGTTAATGAACTTTTTAAGTAAATTGGTATATTACTGAAGATGGATTCACTGTGAGCTATTTTATCTAATTCTTTTTAATACAGCTTTTGTTTTGATTACTTTTTTGAGTACACTGCTCTGGACTCATCCTCAAGGAAGATGATGACAGTAATTATAATATGATATATCACATAGTAAATGGATGGTTTTTGATCTGCCCCACTCCTCAAAGCAAACGTTTTGCAAAGAGGTAATCTATTTATCCCCAACTATAAAAAATATACATGATTTCAAAATGAATTAACCTTGGTGCCACATACAATTAATTTGTATTTTGGCTTATATCTGGCCTTTTCTCTAGGATCTCAAGCTGGCCTACATGAGTTGACCTCAAATACCTCAGTAAATTCCTTTGGATGAAAATAAATGTGATCTTGGATCTTCCAAGACTTAGCCCAAAGTCTTAACCACAACACAACATTGGCTACTTAGTAACAGAGGTATCTTGGCTCTCAACAACATCCAATGAAAATATAAGTTTCTTGCAAACATACAACTTGCCCAAAACTTACCATAGAGTCTAAGGCTGATACTAAGCTGGTGATAACTTCATCTTTTTGAGAGAACACCAAGTGCCATTGGTCCGGTCTGCAGTTGTTAAGAAGCCCATCGGAAAACTTCCCCAGCAGTGCCATGATTGCCTGAAATCAACAAGAACCAACTGAAGATTAGATGAGTCTTGTGTTGCCTGGACATAGAAAACCACAATAGAACAACCAGATAGTCTCCAAATGTCATACACTGCCCTGTTCTAGAGCTCAATTCAATTCAAGTGTTATGGTACTTGCTGGAATTCACAGGTGAAAATATGTTCCTCCACCCAATCTACCCCCAGTCTTGACTCTGCCCAAAAGCATTCTCCAAAACTGCTACCAGATTACAATTGTTAAAATGTGCTACAAGAACTTTATTAAATACTTAATTGAACGTAGTAATTATAACAGCTGGGTTTCATTAATTTAAAATAAATGTACTTTTAACTTGAAATTTCATTTTCGCTTGGTGACTTCTTATAATATAGCCTACCTGTGTCAGCTACTCGAACATTACAAAGGGAGTGGGCTTGGGGGGGGAATTGCATAGCACTATTCTACAGAGAGAAAGGTAAGGAGATGTGGTTGATAAAGATTATTACAGTACTTCTCTCACCTTCGCTAAGAGGATAAACAAACTGCACCTACCACCATGCTACAATAATGAAGAATTAATACAAGGACCTCCTGGATGATGAGTCTTTGCAAATCCCCAGTAGAACCAATCCTTGATGCCATGGTATCATGGCCTGCAATGAAGACAGGGGACTTCTCCCCGAGATGCAGATATACAACTATCACACGGAGCAGAAAACCCATAGTAGGTAAAGTCACACTTACTTCAGAATTTCAAATTGTTTTGCAATGATTACTCTGCTTGAATTCAATTGTTCCTCTTCTTCCTCCTCCACCACCAACCCATTGCCATTCTCCTACAACTATCTCCTGGCCCCCAAACCGACTTCCTGTTGCACAAGATTTTTCCTCATAAGCAAGAACATGTACTAAAAAAAGAAAAATAAACAACTCCTCGTTGCTTCCAATGGGCCTTCTTCAATCAAGTTCTCGCACAAGTCACACCACTACAGACTACTGGGGAGAGCCTATGGTAAAACAGTCCCTCTTGTTGCAAAGGAGGGCAGAGTTCCTAAAAGTAATGGAACTCTGAGACTGGAAAAGAGGAAGAGGGGAAAACAAACAATCAGGAATCTACAAATGAATCTAGCAGTTGGCTGCAAATGTTTGCTTTCATTCTAATGAGATGATCTCATCTTCTTCTTAAGTCATGACCTTCTGAAAAACTAAGAAAGGTGGAACTGGGTGAAGGGCAGCAGTTCCTGGAGATCATTCCAGATGTCCTTCTAACAAGGGTGATCTTGTTACAATACAGTGCTAGAAAAATGGCAGGGCAGTCATGGTGAAGTTGAAGGCATTAGCTTCAGCTTAGGCCCTAGGATAGGATAGGATGGGACCCAGTGGTGCATTTCAAATATTTTTACCACCGGTTCGGTGGGCGTGGCTTGGTGGGTGCACTTTGCACATGCATACGTGCAAAACACGCACTTTGCACAGGTGCAGAGGCTTTCTGACTCATCTCCTGCAATCCTGCACTCTCCCTGTCGCTTTAGCAGCTGCCACACAGCAATCTGCTGTGCCGCGCAAAGCAGCTGCGCTTCAAAAACAAGGAATAAAGGTTAGTATGGGAGCCTGGGCAGGCGAGTGGGCTCAACAGCAGATCATCAGTGAGAACTGGTTCAGTCTCCGTGGCTCATCGGCGCTACCGGCTCAGCAGAACTGGGCCGAACCGGTAGAATACCACCACTGGATGGGACAAGATAGGATAGGTTAGAGGGTAGGAATAAGAATAGGATAGAATATAATACTTTACTGGCCAAGTGTGATTGGACACACAAGGAATTTGTCTCCAGTGCATAAACTCTCACTGCACATACAAACAACAAAATAATATAATCATAAGATACCAATAGAAGGTGGTAGAAAAGATGAAAAGGATAATAGTAATACAGCCATGAGCTACTGATACAGTTTTACAGAGACTCTGTCATCTGTACCTCTATAACTGGCTCTGCAACCAAACAAGACAGACACAGATTTCAACAGATAATTAGGACTGCAGAAAAAACAATTGCTACCAACCTGCATTCCAACGAGGACCTGTATACTGCAAGAGTCAAAAAGAGGGATGTGAAAATATCTACAGACCTCCTCACATCCTGGACATAAATTGTTTCAACTTCTACCTTCAAAACAACATTACAGGGCATTGCACACCAGAACAACTAGACACAAGGATAGTTTACTCCCCCCCACCCCCAATGCCATGACTCTGCTAAACAACTAATTCCCACAACACCATCAAACTATTTACTAAGATTGTATTACAATTATTTTTCTCATCCTTCCTATTACCTATCTCCTTTCTACTTATAAATATAACCTTGTTGTTTGTATCTTTACTATTTATATTGTTTTATTTAGTTTCCTAGTATGATTTTGATTGCTTATTTAGTATCCTATGACTATCACTAAGTGTTGTATCTTATGATTCATGATGAATGTATTTATGACAACTATATGATCACGATTTATCACTTATATCTGAGAGCTTATGCACCGAGACAAATTCTTTGTGTGTCCAGTCACACTTGGCCAATAAAGAATTCAATTCAATTCAACTCTACTCTACTCTACTCGATTCTAAATATCCTTAGACATAAGACACTACTGTGGTAATTAAATGTTCAGCAGTGTGATGGCCTGAGGGAAAAAGCTGTCTTTGAGTTTAGTTGTTTTGGCATGAAAAGAAAAAAAAATGCATCCTCTCTCAAAAGGAATAAAAGGAACAACTTTGCCTAAAATTTCTATATACTAGGTTTATATCTCCAGAGACATATATATAACTCCTTCTGCAGCAACTTTAGCCAGCCATCAGTACCTAATTAACAACTAAAAGTTTCACACAATCAGGAACCATATAAATACAACCCGTAGGACAGCCCAGTGCACATAATCTGCAGAGAGAGGTTTCCTGATGATGGGTTCCAGCACCAGCCAAAAGCTTGGAAGAATAAATTTTTGATCCTGGTGACCAACTCATATTGGATCCTACAACGTTATCTTGGGACATGTATATTTTCCTTCACTTGCATAACTACCTCTATTTAAGTAGAAATATAATCCATTTTATAAAGTTGGAAAAGCAATAACTAAATGAGCTGAGTACATGCTCAACTGGATATCCAGAATAGGAATATGTGAATTAACAAATACTATTATCCTGTCATATGAATTTTAATCTTGAAATCAGACTTGTGCTGCACTGCCTTACAAGGAATACAAATGCAATCCAATGTTAAGAACAGTGACATCACATTGACTATTGAGTGATGTCATAATCAAAACACTGACCTTCCTTCTGGAAGAAGGTCCAAATGAAATCCAATGAACACCTACTGCAACCTTCAATCCTCGGCACACTACATTTTTACCCACAAATAATTATTTAAATGAGGTCAAGGGAAGATAATTCATAGTATGGTGTGCAGGGATAAAATTCCATTTTTTCCGCTACTGGCTCTGTGGGCGTGGCTGTGGGCGTGGCTTGGTATAATAGTAATAGCAACCAGGGGCAATTTGTTAATGATTCAAATCGTCCCTACCACCTCTCTCGAGGTGAGCCGAGGTGGTTGAATTTCACCCCTGTTGGTGTGGGAAGAAATATCCATCTGGTTCAGTTCCAAGCCGGGAGAAAGACACTGGAAACACAGAGGCTGATTGGAAAAGGTTTAATGATGAAGCAGAACCATATGGGTTCTGGGCAGCTGACCACATGGAGTTGAGAGTGGGGTGGTTTTATACCTTCTCTTGGGCTTTGCACTTGAGCTTCCTGTTCCTGTACAAGAACATGTATTCTATTGGCTGTTGTCAGACTCCCATGGCCATGTAGGGGTTATGTAGGGGTCATAGCTGGCTCTATAGGCAAAGTACAAATCCTAGGTGTTTGTCTGAGCTAAGTTTGGTTGAAGTTTCTGAGGGTGATGCAATGACTGAAAATACCCATAAGAGATTGTGCAATGTAGTGAGCTCTGTGTCTTTTGCTAAATGGTAGTGGGTTAATCCTATTATGTCCTGAAGGATAATCCCATCATCCTGGGGCTGAAGGTCTTTTGTTTTGTAGATAGGCTGGCCCAGTCTTCCTTAATGGGCACAATAGGGAGGCGGAGCTATTAAGACTGAGCCTGCTTCCTGCCTCTTAAAAAACATGTTTCTCCATTTCTCATTTAGGGAAATATAATATTCTGCCTTTTTAATATTTCTCAAAATATTTCATTCTTCTAAGAGAGGGGTGGGTGCTAACTTTCTACAATGGTCTCTCTTCTCTATTTCCATAAATCCAGTTCCACATACCCTTGAGAAGTATTAGGCCTATAAGTATCATTAAGTAAACTCTTTCCCTGTCATTCTTAATATAAAATAGCATTTTGCCCATGATGGATATACTCTTCGTCATTGTTGTTTTCAAGGAGAAGAATCTTCACTCGACCTTCCTCTAACTCTTTGGTTAGTCCTTCCCTCCAGGCCCAAATAACCCACCAGGGTTACTTATATTATTTTAGGAAAAGTAGGACATGGAAGGCTGAATGAAAGGCAACTGAATGAAAGGTGTGATATATGTAGATCTAATAAATAATACAAAGGCTTTACTTACTTTATAGTATTTATAAACAGCCTGACCACTGCCCCTTTAAGCAGTGTATAAAGAATGCAAGCTATTAAATCCAGAAACAGAAATGAAAACTTAAAGGAACAACCAACCAACCAAATCAATAAAATCAATAAAATATAGAGTTATTCATATACCCAGTGCTCATTAGCCTATTACAGTGGAGGAATCCTGTTGTTTAGGTTTTATTTTCTTCTACCAGTATATCTTTCCTCCCTCTTCTTTTTCTGCAGACATCTCTTATCCCTCCTCCTTCTGATTTTGTTTAGTTACATAAATAATGCCTTTGGCAGCCTGAACATCAGAACTAGAGAGAGTGCTAAATTGCCGTTCCATAAAATCCTATTTGAAGGCCATCTTGTGA